TTTTGGCTAAGATCAGTGTGTAGTTTCTGTTCTTATCAGTTTAATATCTGATATGTCTCCACTTGGGGACTGTATATTAAATTGATTTTTGAAGCAGGGAGATGGAATAAGGGCTTGCTCTGTCTGCTCCACGCATCATCCTGGTATTGCAGTATTTCCAGGAATGGTGCACTTTCCTGTCTTTGTAAAAGAATAAATGCTTTTCAGCAGGCATTCAAAATGTAAATGTAACTCTAGTTTCAGAGATCAAATGTTCAACTAGTTCTGTGGAAGATGTGCTGCGAAAGCATGCATGGAGAGAGAAGCAGTAAGAGCTGCAGTTTGGTCTCATGTCCGCTAGAGGCTGCTGCAGCAGTTGTTACAAATCTCCTCGTCAAAACATAACTTTTCTTAACTGAGAAATGTTGTCCTTTTAGTTTGATGTGGCTTATTTAAATTAATTTACCACTGCCGTACCACATGGAATGCTATTAATCACCAATATACCACCTTATTTTGTATTTTTGAAACAGGGGTGCATCATCCTGGTATTGCTGAATTTCCAGGAAGTTTGCACTTTCCTATATTTCTGAAAAACTATTATCCGTATTGATTAATGGTGCATTAAATGCTACTTACATCTCATTTTAAAGAACATTGTGGAGATTTTATGATGTAACCTAAAAGTGTTAAAGAAAACATTTTCACAAAATATGTACTTTATTTTTGGATTAAGGGGTAACACTAACATCAAAACGGTGATATTGTTTATTCCTTTTCAAAAATGCCATTTGCAATGGTTTTAAAACAGCACTTATTTACTCTGAGCTGAAAATGTTTGAAAACCTAACAAAATACTTTTTCAATTTGCGTGGAGGAGCAGTAAGAGCTGCAGTTTAGGGTCACGTCCACTAGAGGCTGCTGCAGCTGTTGTTATAAATCTGTCTCGTCAAAAACCTAACTTTTCTAACCTAACAACTTCTTTATGCTGCATTGAATGAACAAGAAGTGTATAGATATATGCACTAGAATCACATTATGTAAATTATGTGTTTATATTTACAACAACTCCAAAAGAAATGGTCTGTTATCATTCTCGGCTATTAGTTTTGGAGTAAAAGGACTAGAAATAAACAAATGGTTGTTACTATCATTGATTGTTTTCAGCTTCATGTGACTTGTTTATTATCACTTCTGTACAACATAAAATGTTGTTAATTCACGTTTTACAGAGTACCTATAGGTAGTAAGGTCTACAAAATAATGCAGTTTTGGAACCGTGAGTTAAAGTGAGGCCAGTCAGAATGACTTGTTTTCCTCGCCAGTTATGTGGCATCGCTTCTCGGCCTTTTGGCTAAGATCAGTGTGTAGTGTCTGTTCTTATCAGTTTTATATCTGATATGTATCCACTTGGGGACTGTATATTAAATTGATTTTTGAAGCAGGGAGATGGAATAAGGGCTTGCTCTGTCCGCTCCATGCATCATCCTGGTATTGCAGTATTTCCAGGAATGGTGCACTTTCCTGTCTTTGTAAAAGAATAATTCAAAAAAAGGTATTAGGAACATGAATATAACTATTTTTAGAGATCACAATTTCAAGATGTTCTGTTAAAAGGATGTATGGAGAAAGAAGCAGTGAGAGCTGCTATTATGTCCACTAGAGGCTGCTGTAGCAGTTATAAATCTGTCCTGCCAAAAATGTAATTTTTCTAAACTTAAAATCTTCTAGTAGAGTGTTTTTCAACCTTTTTTGAGCGTATGTACACTGTTTTAATTGAAAAAATCACAAGGCACACCACCAACCAAAAATGTAAACAAAGATTAAATTAATAGTCATTCTTATCAAAGTGTCTTGAATAGGAATCAAATAAACACAAAAATTTATTTGTATCATATTTTACATTTCTTATTTCAAATTGCATTTAACATGTCCACTTCAAAAATACACCTGAACAGTGCCACAACACTCATGTGGCACTAATTCTCGTTTTAATGTAAAATGCTCTGTACCTACTGCCATGTAGTGATAAGAAAATTACATGATTACACCAGTAGTCACTACTACAGCAGACACTCAAAGATGGCGTTATCTGCAGATCATTAATTTTCCAAAAATCTTTTAAGATCAATTACCGTTTTTTCTGGACTATGAGCACACCATACTATAAACCGTACCGTCAAATTATCTCCCCTGGAAACTTACATATATCAGCCGCACCGGGCTACAGGCCGCTGGTATCTCTGCTGCTCTCGGTTTCCCATAGAGACCCAGCAGAGGGTAGCAGAAGGCTGCGTCCTAACAACTGCTGGATATATTAAGGACGCAGTTCTCCGTCTCCAAATCCAGTTTTGTTCACACCGAGCTTAAGTGCAGCGGCTCTATTTCCCTCCCGTACTGCCAGATCTCTACTCCTCAACTAAGAAGCTGCATCACATGAGTTTGAAAGCATTTCTCCGTCGTGCCTGCTGCTTGTTCCAAATGAAAATTAGCGCGCTCTTCTTTGATTTCCAATTTTGACTCCCAATGATTCACTTTTTGCTAAAGAGCCCCCTGGTGGTTGAAGAAAAATCCACAGAAAAGCCACATGTTCAAAGTGTAAGAAAGAAGTAGCAGCTTATAGTCCGGAAAATACTGCACCTGACGATCACTCACGGTACACACTGGTTGAAAAACACTGTTCTAATAGGACTACTTCAGTATTTTTTTACTCAAGCAATTAGCAGCAAATTACTCAAACAGTATGTAACTATTTGATAAAATGGTACTACAGTTCATATTGTGTGTGTTAGAACGACAAGGTAAAACAGTGGCAGTATGTTGATTTCCAAATAGTACGGCAGGCTCAGCAGGTTAATCTTTATTTAAAACAAACTTGTTAATTTAGTGAAGTAACTAGACTCAGGCGAATTTACTGTAACTGCTTCAGCAAAAGTAAATTAACTCAGTTTTATTCAGATATTTTCAGGGAGACATCTGTATATAATTTTGAGTGGACATAATTCTGAAAAGTTCTGCTGCTTCTCGTCATGAAGGACGTGATGAGCTTCCATTGGCTGCAGTTACATGTAATCGCCAGGAGGGGGATGTCACCACTCCTGTTTATTCCACACCAGAATATTGTGCGTTTTATTTACGTTTCTTCCAAATGTTTATGTTGTGGCTGCATGGTAAAATTTCTATATTAAAAACCTATTAGTCTTATAAAATAAAACTGAATTATGTTTAATTTACCACAATCATTCAAAGAAATGCCAAAAATGATTAGAAACTCTTCAAATGTGGTGAGTTTGGTGATAATGCCATTTATTGAGATGAACAGAAAATAAATACAACATGCCATTTGCTTTTTCAGTGCAAATAAAAATGCAAGAGGTTTGCTCATTTCTTCTGAAAAAGTTACAAAGTTTTGTTTTTTTCTCCTCAAATATTTCAACACACAAGACATCAATGTAAACATGCTTTTATGTGAAAATACAAATTTGTTTTGATTCTACACTTTTTGCTTTTGTACGCAAGTATAAAAATAAAACTCGGGTCATGACACAATCAAACAGCTGATGCATTGCACTGGTTAAGCATCACATTTCAACATGTAAAACTATGTCTAATTACAATTTCTCTTTTTTATACATGTGCTATAAAACTGTGCCGAGTTGTCTATGCTACTCCAAATGTGGGATTTTCAAAGTTCCCAGCCTGGTCTTCAGGAATGTCGTTCTCAGCGAAATCTTCTGGGTCGAGGTCCGCCTCGAACATCCGCTGCAACAACGCGTCCACTGTCCGGTATCCTGCAAGATAATAAAACAATCCGCTGGATAACAAGGACAGAAAGACACTCAACAAAACCATTTTTCTGTCTACTCAAAGCTCTTCAGTCACATAAACATGGGCACATAGTAAATTAGTGGATAGGATGACACTGTAATCTAGGTATTATTTATGTGCTATAAAATTGCACCATCAAGTAATTCAGTTGTCATGAAAATGCTACATATATAAATAATACGACTTAATAAATTCAACTTAGATATTCAACGCCTATGAAATTGGGTCTCTGTCTCTAACATCTCCTGCTCTTTCAGAAACTCCCAAAAATATCAAGGCATTTCACGCTTCTTCCAACAAACCATGGATGAATCAGATGCTGCAAAGCTGAAGAACACCAACCTTTCAAAAGTAGAAAGGATCAAAACTCATTAAAAAGTAATTCTGCTTTGTAAACTTACTTTTGGAAGCAACTTTAAACAGGAGCGAAGGCAGGTTTGCTGTAGGTGACTGCCCAGATCCTAAATCGTTGTCAATGGTTTCCATGGCGTTGACCAAATTGTCCTCCAGTTTTTCCCTGTTGAAACGGTAAAGATATGAAAGCACAACTAGGCAGAAACGAATCAGTCGCATACAGCCCTCCCACCCTCACCCTGAACAAAAGTAATCTGCAGAGTGTGCACAATAAATCACAATCCCATAATCCAGTGATACAGGTAAAACAAAAAGCCTCCTTCATGGCTTCAGTGTTATGTAGAAATCACGCTAGCATACTAAGACCAAGGTGACATTACTGTGCCACGGTGAGCTCCAGTTCCTCAATTTTCCTCTCCAGAGATGTTTGCAGATCACCTTTACCCACAGAGTACTCCACAAAGAACGCCTCGAGAACAAACGCCACAAAGATACTGAAAAAGAAGAGAGCGAGACATGCTTAAGATACAAAGTACTCAGGAGACAAAACAGATACGCAAGAATGTGTTTTAGTGTAAATTGCAGGACTAAAAAGGACAAATTATAGCATCAGAATAAACTGAAACATTTAGAGTTTGCTGAATTATCAATAATCTGATAAATTTGGATTTAAAAATATATGGCGTTTCTTTTTTTTCTTGTATGATTCAGTAAAGTGATGATTTCCACTCTGTGGCACCGACTACAATAAATCTCCCTGTATGCTGATGATAAACTGTTTTACTTTGTGTAAATATGGCATTGTTCATCTCTATATCTGCTCTAACAGAAATCCACAAAGCAATTTGATCTAAATAGAGTTAAATTTCATTTGAATCATCTACATTACGGAATTATTCGACCCACTCTGTAAATTTGAGTTACTGGAATAATTCAAAACTGTTCAGGTGTTTGCAAATAACATGTGATAAACAAAACTAATATTGGGAGAATTTAAAAGTCAACACTAATTCTAACTTTCACCGACTACAGAAGCATCAAATTTAATAAACCTTGAATAAAATTTGTTGCAAAACCACCAATTTGCAATCAAAAGTTTTAGTTTCATGACAGCACACCTCAAATAGATAGAATGCTGATATTGTAATGCTGAATTGCATTCTAAAAATTAGTAAGTAAATTTAACTAATAGTTGAGGTTGTGGGACACTTGAGTTTTTACATCGTCTCCCAGTAATCAACACTTGGTGTTACTCTTTGGTAATAACACCACATGTTACTGCCTACATTGGCCAACATTAATTTTAGTAACTGTGTTCAGACATGAAAATTATTTGTTTTTGTTGCTGGAGACAATGTGGAAGAGTAGGATTGGTAACATCTGGTCATACTTGATGATGATGATCACAACCATGACGTGGAAGAGGACGAAGAAGATCAGGGCCGATTTATGAGTGACGGTGGCAAATCCGGTGCCGAGCAGTGGGATCGGATTAAGGAATGAAAATGGATTTAAATATGATATCTAAATTCCAGATAATTGAAGTATTTTCTAGTAAAAAGTGAGGGAAAACCCTGCAGGCAGCACTGATTGTGTAAAGGATATCGTGCCATTGGTTGACAACAGTGAGCTCCAACAGCAGGATGAAGGAGGAAACCACATTATTGAAATTATTTTTGCAGTAGCTGAGTTGTGCAAACGTGCTGCCTTTCAGTAACGGATTTCCGCAGTATGCCTTCTCTGGGTTGGTGATGTCTTCATAGAACTTCACTTTGTTTTTGAACAACTCCATCCCCACCATGGCAAAGACGTAATACACCACCTGAGGAAAAAAAAAAAAAAAAACAGCTTAAAGCCTCATGTTCAAACATTTAATTTAGCCTAAAATGTCTTTAATAACAACACATTAGTTTCAAATAGTTAGATCAGGACTTTATTAATTATAAACTGTTTTAACTTTGGAGAACAATGAGTTTTTATGGTATTGACCCTTTGCAACTACATCACTTAGTCATTCGAGGCGCCATGATGGACGTCAGAAGTGAGGGACGGGAGTTTTGAACACAGCACTGAAATGATTTTCCAAACTTGTTTTTGCCAGTTTATTCATGGCTTCTTCTACTTTCAGTCGAGCTAATTTGTCTGCGAATGTAACACCTGGTTGGGGCTCATAGACGGCGATATTTACAAAACAGCTAGCTTAGAAGCCGACCCGTACCTCCTCCCTCCTGATGTGTTGATCAAATTACCGACTTTTATTGAATTCACACCACATGATTTATATCACTATGTCATAAGCGATGTCCCCCACCCCCCATCCCCAACACCGGAGCAGCATTAAAAACGTACAAAAGATGAAATGCTAAGAAGTTTTATCCATACATGCTAGGCTACATGACGGTGCGGCACCGTCTCCATGGTTACCAACGTGTAAACGCACCTTCTCCATAAAGCAATATTTGATATCTTTCTAATCATACTTACTTATAAAGTATATCAACGTTAGTGTTCGCTGCAAATCCGTGATTACACCGAAGGATGACAGTCATTATTATCAACAGCTGCTGCTAGTCGTTATGGTTAACGGCTGCTATATCTTTCCTTATTAAAAGTCAGAAAATAAAGACAAGTTTGGTTTCTATCCTTGTCTGTTTAATGCAGCCGACCGCGCAGCATCCTGTAACCATTTTTAAAGTGAAATCAACTAAATAAAAGCGAAATTAGGTTACAGATGAAATGTCTGTTTTTAGACTAGCTTTAAAGGAGCGCATTGGCTGTTTTGACCTCCGTCATGGCGGAGTGGGCGGAGTTCTGGTGACGTCACATTTACAGAACCAATGGTTTTCTTCCATCCCATGGAGTAATTTTTGTTTACTGCTAAACAGAAGCAAACATATTAAGCTATGTTTAAAAGTAAATAAAATTTTACGTTTTTTTTTTATATCAGAATCAAAATTAACTTTACTGACCAACATTGTGTTCACAAATAAGGAATCCGACTTTGATTTTCAAGCTTCCATAGTGTACAATGAAAGTATAAATGCATAGATTTAGGAGAAATAAGGTACAGCACATGCACATCTTTGCAGTCATTTTTTGTTATAAAAAAGAAAAAGGAATTTTTGTGACAGTGGAAAAATGCTTATTTTGTTCCACAAAGCAGCTGACAACTTAGGATGTAATGTTCATTGGAGAAACAGCCTGGGGAAAAATAATTAGTGTCTGGTGGCTGGTTTTGAAAATAGCACTCTGTAGACCCCCTGCATCCTAGACACAATTTAGACCTTTAACTTTAGGTTCCCCATACGGAGATGTAGCTATATGAAAATAACATGGTGTTGAGAAAATTACTTTTAGAAAGGCTGCAGGTAATTTGAAGTTGGAGCTTTTTCCAGATTTTTATCCAGGCATCGACAGACTGCAGGAGGCATGAAAGTGAATTTAACTGCTACTTACGAGAATGAGCTGTCCAAATGTAAGAATCGCAGGACCAATTCTTATCAGTGTGTTGATGATCGCACGAAACCTAAAAACATGTACATTTCTTTGTTAGCTTAGCCGGATGAATGGGCACAGACATCAACTCAGATGGTAAATTGACAACACAAAGTGAGGTGATCAATTGTTGGGCAAAACAGCAAAGGATGTTGTAGAGATCAAACTATAAACTACTCCGAGTTTTATTCTGATTTTACCGTCTGAGTTTCCACCATGAGGAAAAGTGTGGAAGAGACGCCAACAGAAAAGGGATTGTACGTTTATCTGACTTTTATTGAACACAGTGGACTTGATCATTGGCTGATTGGTATGTATAAATAAATGATCCACAACCAGATAAAGATTCATGAGTGAGAATGTAAGACATTTAAAACCTCTTGATGCTGTCCACCACCCGGATCAACCTGAGGACTCGCAGGATGAAGACAATGTCCAGAACCTGCCGGCTGGTGTATCCGCCCGCTGCATCAGAACAGAACTTATTGTACTTACATTTATGAGATCATGAAAGATGTTTCCTCTTTAGTGTGGTATATATATCCTGTGTTGTGCCATCATAGCTCATCAATCATTTGTTAAAAGGTAAATTGTTTTTATAAACAGTGAAAAACTTTATATCGCATCAGGCAGCGATATAAAGAGCAGCAGCAACAGCAAATGAGTTGGAATAGCAGATTTTTATTGTGTTTTTTTAATCATAAGAACCTAATGGTGTCAGAAGGGACTTTTAAGATCCACTATAGGAACTTTAAAAGTGTTTTTAGTATGCAAAGCAGCTAAAAAGAGACTGAATTATGCATTTCTTTAAAAAAAAAAAAAAATCAGTAGAAATAAAAATTTGTCATAATGCCCATGACTTCAGTTTTTTTTAACAACCAAGAGTTCACAGTTGAATAAAAACCCAACAAGTGAAACAACCATTTGTGTCAGCAGAAATAAAAATCTGTTTTTGTAACTAAAGCTTTTCTTGTTTCAAGCACCACATTAAAGATAAACTCAGTTGAATATATTAGAAGAAAAAGCAGCTCTTACATGATTTTAAGGCAGAGTTGACGATTGTGGCAATAAGAGCAGCAACGACGACGATGGTGTCAAACCTGGAGAGAAAAAGCCGTTTTCAGTTGGCAGATATTGATATGCCGAGCTACAGAAACACAACGAGAATGTATTAAGAGAACTGGACAGAGAACATCACTAAGACATGTAAATAACTTATTTTACAACCATTTTTTTCTCCAGCAGGGACTTTACAATGTGAAAAAAACAAAAAGAGTTTTTTTTGTTAGGTGTCCAACTTTTACACAAATGGGTGAATTTTTTACACTCTCCTACTGAAACTGTGTTCTCCATCCACTTCTTATAATCCATTCAAAGCATCTAAACTCCCCATTGCAAACGTCTATGGTGGGAGGCAACTGCATTTCTGCTCAGCAGGGCTGCAGGCAACTGAATAAGATATGATGAAACTAAAAGAAAATACTTGGAGCAGCTGCAGCAAGAAAGGTGTAAAGCAGTGGTGTCTAACATCGTTCTTAAATGGGCCACAACAAAATTACACGAGGCCAAAAAAATTAGTAAAACCACAAAATAATTACAGTATTTTATTTCCCACTTAATAATAGCTCTTTAAAAATGCTTGCTGTGCTAAGTAAGGTTTAATAAATTATGTAAAAGCAACTTTGGGTTCTCTAAAGTCTGTTTCTAAGTAGAAATGAGTTGATAAATGTCGATATTTTTACAATGAATTTAAAGAAAAAGCAAAAAAATACACTTGTTCAAAGACAATTACTTTGTGTTAATATTTTAATTAGTGAGTAATAATTTTGCTTTAGAGAAAAAAGTCATCTCAACCCAATAGTTACTTTATTAAATGCACCAGCACATCACAGATGGTACAAATACCTATATTTATGATGAACCTAATAATTACAATTTATTGTACTTATTACAATAAGTGCTCATTATTATTGTAATAATTACAATAATAATACTCATTAGACAGACTGGTCTGTTGTATTCATTACATACTGAAAAGTGAAGTTTGCTATAATTCACTCTAAACAAAAAGAAAAGTACAATATAATCAATAATGTCAAAAACATTTCAGAATATTACTTATACCATAAAATGGCAGGATATAGAAACCAAATGAAGCATTCGTATGACCCTGGCTGTGATTCTGGTTGTTTTTATCGGTTTATTTTTGGTTTTTTGGTCATAGAATGCATCTTCCTCCACAGAAGATCTTTGGTAATCTCTTTGCTTTTCCTGTTGTCTGTCTTTGTTGATTCTGACCCGAAGAGTCAGCAGAATCTGAATGTTTTTCTATCCAACGTCCGTCTCTTTAAAATGGACCAGCGTCCAGCAGAACATTGTTCTCTTTGTTCTTAAGTCTTTGTTTTCAGTCGTTAGTCATTTTTAACTGAAGATTAATTTTAAATATTTGCATATGATTATAGGACCCGAGCCGTTCAACCAGGCATAAGATGTGGGAATTATATCTTCACTAAATTATGTACCCAGTGGAACTGAGAGGAAACTTGATATCCTTAGTCACCAAAACTGAAAAATTAAAACTTAAAAAAAAAAAAAAAAACATTGCACAGTTCCAAACGACAGACTTATAAAGTAAAAATACACCATTTTATATGAATTTCCTCAAACTGGTGTGTACTGGTTCAGTTCACTTTGTTGTAAAAAATTAATATAAATTTTGGAGATGAATACTGAAACTATCCAATCTCATGTATAAATAATTAAATTAGTTTATTATTATTAATTATTATTGTTAGGTGAACATTGTTCAGTTTGGTTTCTTACATCCAGCTGGGTCTGGTGAAAGACACTCAAAGATCTTCTCTGAAAAAGAGTGCATTCTCGAAACTAAAAACCAACAAACCAGAAAAACAACCAAAATGCTTCGGCGCTGTAGTAATATAGCAGGCTGTTTGCATTCACTTTTACAAATATACACGGAGAGAAGTCTGAAAGTAAAAAAAAAACAAAAAACAGTAATAATCCCCTTTGTTTCATGAAGCAACTCTGAAGTTTTTACTTTCAGACTTTCTGGCCGCAAACTGAGCCTTCATGACTCAGAAGCTGCTTTGCTCCCAAACGAGTAAAAATTCTGCTTAAAGCATCAAAGAGCTGCTCCAAGCGCTTCTGGATGCGCGATGCGAAAAGCAGCCGATGATAAGAGCGGAGATGTGACATACCTGGTGCTTATAATCTGGGATGTGGACAAGCTGTGTGAAATGGATGCAACACGGCTAATTGATTATGACATTTTTAAAAATCAAACGAAAAGATAAATAGTTTTGCTGCTTTGATAAAACAAACTTAAAGCAACCAGACATTGTTTGGGTTCTTCTCCACCCAAACACCGACCCGTCTGTTAATGAAATGTCACTTTGTGATATTTAGCATCAACTGGATAAAAACTAACAGAAATGAAAGCAGTCACATAGCTTCATATTTCACCTCAATGGGGTAAAAATCAATAAATAAGCGATTTTTCTAAAATGAAATATGTGGGATTATTTACTGAACCAGCAAAAAACAGACAAGTTTGTTGAATAAAATAAATAAAATCTAAGGAAAAAGCAGAACCATTTTTCTCATAAGCAGGCATGAGTTAGTCACAGTTATGGTTTCATAACTGCTGAATTTTTACCATTTAAACCATTAAATAGTTTAAAATATATTTTAATGTGGTGCTTCAAAAGAGAGCGAGTGTCTCTGGGCATAAGGAATCTCTGCTCCTCCCCCGCCTGTTGCTGAAAGAAAGCCGTTACATTTCTTATTGCTAAAAAAAATTGTTTTTTTGAGGAAACATTTTAGGTAAAAAACAAAAACGTGAACAGTGATGTGGAAACTAAAACTGCACCGCTTATCCAAGTTGTTAGCTTTCGCAGGCTTCCTCTGTTTAAAAACTAAATAAATACATGACATTAATCACCAAAATATTTTAAGCAGCAGCAGGAATAATAGATTTTTGTCTAAATATATGACTATTTTGTCATTTTTTTTTTACCTTTAACTGCATAGAAAGTCAGCAGAGGTCAACAAGAATATCTTTTTATTGTTTGTGCAGTAAACAACAAAAACAGCAGTAGGAGAGAATAAAGAATGAAACTTTAAGTGCAGGTGGTGTTCATTAAAAACTCGTTCTCACCAGTTCCAGAAGCTGTGTTTGGAGAAGAAGGCTCTGGGCTCAAACACGTAGAGTTTCAACAGGATCTCCAGAACGTAGAGCGCCAGAAAAACCCACTCCGAGTTGGAGATCAGCGGATTCTCCTCATCCAGGCCGATAAACACGGCATTCACCAGGATGATCAGGTCGAAGGTGATGACAAAGCCCCTGTAGTTAAAAAAATAATGCAGTCAATATTCTGCTTGTTTCTGTTTTTCTTGTGTGATAAGTGGCCGTACGGAGAGCTCACCGGTGTTGGACCACTCTGCAGACCAAGCGGCTCGGCTTCGACTCGTACAAACTGGGGATCAGACTCTGAAGTGGGTGCGGTCTCGACTTCAGCGTAATCACTTCGATGTTCAGAAGATCGGCCAGCTGGACAAAAGCCACCTTACCTAACCATCAACAACCCGGAAAAAAGGGAGAGGATAAAACAATTTAAGGTTTAATTACTACAAAACCAAATTCCATCTGTAATATTTGCATAACTTCTGTCAACAAGAAGAATCCATCTGGATATTTAAGCAATATTCTCACATTTTGGGGACCAACATGCATTTATCTTTGCATCAGACTTCTTATTAACAAAACCAGTCATGCACTGTTTGTATCAACACAAGATTGGCGTCGTATACAGCGTATGACAACCATGTAATTTTAAAACAAACGCAGTTAAAAACTATTCAACTTGTGCAGAAATTCAAGACAAATGCAGACAGAGGTTTGAGAATATGGATGAACCGATAATTTGAGATGTTATCAGTATCCATTGACTATACTGCTGTGATAACAATAGTAACCAATATTATATAAATTTCCCTATTCTTTCGACATCGTGATAAAACAACCACACTGCTGACGTTGCTTCTTTGCTTCGGTTAAACACCCAACAATCCCTCCGCATCATTATCACGTCACATGATCACACAAATACAACCTGAGTGAGGTGCTGGTGGAGCAAAAATCACCTTAGACAGATTTAACCGAAACATCAGTCTAATAAGGACTGGGCAGCAAGTTGGGGGTCAGTGCATTTATTCATGCGTGTTTATAAAAAAATCAACACAGAAGGAAAGGAAGAGAAAGATGAGGGAAAGAATACAGTATTTAAAAAAGTTTGAAAGGAGTCGATTATGCAAAGTTCACATTTTGGATGTCTTTGTATTTCCATTTGAGTCTCTAGTGCTTCTAAAACCAACCTAAGTATTTAAAAAAAAAAGAAAAAAAAAAAGAAAAAGCTGTTTGTTTTCTTTACAAACCCCAAAAAACATTTGGGGTCTGGAAAATGAGCCATTTCAAAAATCTCTCAAATCTAACATTACAAATCAGCAGGCGCTGCCCTTCACCTAGCAAGCTCAGCTGAACCCAGCCTGTTACCTAGCAACTCCATCAAGCTCAGCCCGTTACCTAGCAACCCAAGCAGGTCAGCCGGTTTTATCTCTGTATGTGCTGTACAACGGCTGCTGGAACTGTTTTGTTGTTGACTTGGCATTCAGAAACCATTTGTTGGCTGTGCAGGACACCCTGATTGTGCTTTTCAAAGATGTACAGTTGCATCGTTGCACATCTGTTTGCAACCATTTTCATGTGAGTGTAAAAGTTGCCAGAAGCAGCTTATTGGGATTTAAAGTGACAAGACCCCATAAAACAGCTCATTCTGAAAGGAGCTCAAAAAAGGAAGAACTGACAGGATTAAAATTTCATTAAGAACGATTTTGAACAAAAATTTAATGAACATATTCCATAGAAATATCCTAACCTCTTCAAGGAAGCACAACAGGTGATCTTTAAGGACAGGAATCGATATCTGCTGCAGTAACTTTGCCTTGTTTCTCACAGTAAAGGTCTTTATCGCGGGTTCTCTCTGATTGCGACAGACGATGAGCTGGCAGTTTGTGCATTTCTCACTCTGAGCGACCACAAACAGCCGCTTCGACCTCAGAGCCAGATGTTTTATCAAAAAATTCAAAACAACAAAAGACTTTGGTCAAGACAGTCAATAATTGCATCTTGTGTAACCTGCAGTACGCCAATTAAAAAATGAAGTAGTGCAATAGCTTTCATTAGACAGTAGAAGAAGACAAAATAAAAAACTCTTGATAAAAGTTTGACTAATTCTAACCCAAGATAATAAAAGGTCCGACATTTCTCTGAAACAGGTGTTATGTTCATGTTAGTTTATTTTATGTTCCAATGACAAGCGAGTAGATTAGTGTGGTTGACTTGTAAAAGTAATAAAAAGGGTAAAAAACTAAATTACATTAGTTTAGTCTAATAACAACCAGCCTTATTATATATATAGCTTTAACTATATATAAACTTCTCATTATTTCCTACATGATACACTAAGAACCAGTTTCTTTTTGAATTTGATTTATTAACAGATAAGAGCTTTTTAATGAGAACCATAAATTCACATATCAACATGACAAGTTAAATATGCCACATGCAGTAAAATCTTAGGCCTGAAGGCAGACCATGTTTTCACTGCAACTGGCCAATTACATTGATTTTATTATTACAAAATAAAACAAATGTGTCCGTCTGAAACTGCTTGTTCCGTTTGGACGAACTGATCTAAGCAGAACTGGATGATCAAGCAGTTTGACTTCCTGTATGTGGAGGAACGGTGTGAAGAAAATGAGTGAGCAAACCTTCGCTGTGAGGAGAAGACGGAGCTGCATCATGACCAGAGGAGGGCAGAGAGCCAAAACATTTACTCAACCAAGAGCAGCTCTACTTCAGTACATTTTCACTCAAGAGTAAAAAGTAGTCATCCAAGAAATTACTCGAGTGGAAAAGTATTTGGTAAAGTCTACTCAAGTACTGAGTAATTGATCAAAACATTAATCATTTAATATTTAAAAAGTACAACAGACCAAAACATACAATTATGTAGAAATGTTGGCATCTTAAAGAGCAAAATTAAAATAATTTGTATGAATAACATAATTGCAAAATAAGTGAGGTCAGTTGAAGTCCAGATTGAAAACGCATCTATTTTCCCTGACATTCAACACCAGTTAAAATAAAAGGAGGAAAAAATTATAACTTAATTCATTCGAGTTTTTTGAGAAATTGCTGCAACTGAAACCAAGCATGTCTTGGTTTCTAATCATATTATTATTTCTTTTGTATTTTACTTCCCATTTTATTTATTTATAGTCAAACTTTCATTGCTTTATTATTTATGTCTATTATGATGCAATTATTGTGAAGCACTTTGGCCAACTAAAGTCGTTTTAAAAATGCTTTATAAATAAACTTTAACTTGGCCTCAAGTTACTCAGAGTATCCAGAAAATTTACTCAAGTAGTAATACTTCATTATAAAATTACTCAAGTAAAAGTAAAAATACTCCTAAAGGTAAATGTTGTCCAAAAGATTCCTCAAGTAACTAACTAGTTACTCTGATCATAACTGGCATCATTTTTTTAAAGGTATTAATACGTTTATTTCAGATAAATATAATTTATATTGGTTGGGCCCAAGCAGTGACGGTCTCATCTGTTTAACATTGAGTTTATTTCTGTAAAAGTTCCATGTTTCGGTGTTGATGAACGCGCAGTTCGGCCCGGTTCCTGACCCACCTATGAAGCCTTGGTTGCTGTCGTCGCAGACTTTCCACAGCAGCTCTCTGTGGGCGCTGCTGATGTCGGGTCGTGCCTGTTGGACCAGCTTGTTCCAGTTTTCATGGCTCACCACAGGCGGGCCGCCTTCTTCCCTCTGCTCCTGCAGGACGCCGAACGCTCGCGCCATTTTGTGCCGTTTGGCCCTCACCAGCTGCCGTATCTCCTCCTGTTTTAAGGCAAAACAGAAAAGTGGGGACTTGGACTTTTAAATGTTGCTTCATACATGGAAAACATTTTTATTTTCCATGTTTGATCTCATTGTGGTTCTATGCTTAAATGAACCACAGAATATTTAATTTTTTGTTGGTTTTTATTAGTTTACAATTCAAACATTACAAAGGGATAAAAAAGCTAACAAAACAAGAATTTATACAACTGTGACAGTACTAGTTCTAGAAAAATGTACTTGTGTTGTAAAAAAAACATTTCTACATCAGTCAGTCTATACCTTGAGGTGTTTTTTGTAGTTGTTGAACACAACAGCCAGGAAGACGGACATGAAGATGTACGTGTTGACGAGGATGTACAAGATGAAGAACAGGGCGAAAATAGAGTTGGCGTTGTATGCAGGCATCCTGCAAACGAGAAGCAGACGGCATTTATTGCAAATAATTACATGTTTGCAAGAAACGGTCAAAAATGCAAAGTCACAGTTCAGTTCCTTCCTTCTGTGTATCTCAGAAGGCAGAAACAGTTCATGTGGTTTTAGTGTCACAGTTTTATAAATTGCAGTAGAACTTTTTGCCCAATACAAAGACCATAGTTGGGTAGTAGCTAGTTACATTTACTCAATTACATTCACTTTAGTAACATACTTTTAGGAGTATTTTTACTACACTGCACTTTTTACTTGAGTCGTTTTATTTATTCTCTTGAGAAATTTCTTTGGATTTTCTACCCACTGAATGAAGAACAAAGACGTTTTAACCAAAAAATTCCCCAGACACAACCCTGCAGATTTTAACGTTTCATGAGTTTTTTTTTTTATTTAAAGAAACTGATTTGTAAAAATTATCTTTTCCCAGATTTTGTTATTTTTTTGTTACTTATTTGAATTATTGTCATTTTTGCCTATAAAATACCAAAATTTCCTCTTAACTTTATATTTTGGTCCATCTGATGATGTAATTTTAACATATTAAATGTTTGATAATTTGATCAGTTACTCAGCACTTTTTATCAAATGTTTTACTCGAGTAATTTTTTGTACAGCCATTTTTTTTTACTTTCATTTGAGTAAAAATAGGTTGAATCAGTGATACTTTTACTTCAGTTCAATTTGTCAGTACAAGGACAAACAGAGAAGATGGATTGGTTGATTATTAGCTTGCTTTTTATTTAAACTTAAATTAATATCTTTTCTTCCAACAGAATTTAATAACTTTAAGAGTTTTGTCCTATAAAAAAATTAACAATAAAATAGTTTTGACAACACAAGTAAAACAGAAAACCTTGTAGATATTCAGACTCACAACTTGTGTTATGTTAGAACTATTTGAAAACAATAGACTTGATCTGTAAAAGTTTTTATAACTCAGCTTCAACTAAAGCTGAAGAGAACGAGCAGGATGTTTTATAGATGTGAACGGTTCCCTTACATGACGTCAGGACTGTTGGCTGTGGTGACGAGGACATACAGGTCAAAGACAATCTCCAGGTAGTTGGTGAAATACGAAGCTCCTTCTATGGTCTTCAGGCCTCTGCAGACAAAAAAAAACAAAAAACATTGAGTTTAAGGAAACGCTCTCCTAAATGTCACCAAGTAAAATTATTTCACGTCAGATCACAAATTGTTCCAAAACAGTAAAAACATGGAGAAATCTCTCATTTAATGATCAAGATCTGTTTTGGATCAGATGTAAAATATTTTTTTTATCTGAAAGAAACCAATATTGTAGTGGTGTGAAGACATCTTGTAATTTTTCACATCAAAGTAAAGTCAGTCTAACCGGGGAAACAAAAACAAAGCCTCGTTAGAGACCAAAAATGCATAAAAAGCCGTTTGTTTTTGCCCCTTTGAGATCCGCCTGACTATTTCTGGTGAATAAGTGTGAGCTCTTATTTTGAAGCTGCAGACTTTATCTTATATTTGTGTTTGGGTCTGGTTGGAAGTGGTTGAGTCCCCTAGTAAACACTGTTGATGAGGAAGCCTGAAAATGCTAAGTTAAATAAAGCCTCCTCCGCTTTTAACTCATGTAGAAATCATAACATTCTGGCTACTTGCTTGATAGAAAAAAAAAATGGTGACAGACAAAACACAAATGTTCTGTAAACGTCTACAAAACTGCGAAAGGTTAACTGCTGAAGTTAGCATCTGCTTCATATTAGCTCACTGATCTGCTCTGTACTCGATTTCCTCTAGTTCAGCAAACACAGTCCATGAGATGAATCAAACCTAAAGTCCCTCTTGGCATCTGTAAGCTACGGATTGCTGACCTCTGTGTGAAAACACACAAACGAAGACGGAGCCATCGTACCGTTTGCTCAGCAGCTTGAGGGCCATGAGGGAGAACATGAGGACACTGAATATGAAGAGGACGAAGACAGAGGAGACCTCAGGAAGAGCGTTCCGGATGCTCCTGAACGCTCTGCGGAGCTGAACGCAGAAACAAACATCGATCAATCAATCACGTTCATTTGTTCAGCACATTTCAGCAACCAGGCTGTTCAAAGTGCTTTACGTCAAGTTGTAGAACACAGTCAACGATTGTCAAGTGACAATCTGGTTCTGATTAATATTTCATTGATTATGTTTCAAAAGCAACTCTAAACAGCTGAGATTTTAGTCCAGATTTAAAGGAGCTCAGTGTTTCAGGCATTTTGCAGTTTTCTGGAAGTTTGTTGCAGATTTGTGGTGCATAGAAGCTAAATGCTGCTTCTCCATGTTTTTTTTCTGGTTCTGGGGATGCAGAGCAGAACCAGAACCAGAAGACCTGAGGGTTCTGGAAGGTTGCTATGACAACAGCAGATCTTTAATGTATTGTGGCGCCAAGCCGTTCAGCGATTCATAAAATAATAGCAGGATTTTAAAATCTTTTCTCTCAATGTAGTGAGCTTTAGAACTGGGTGATGTGCTCCAACTTCCTGGTTTTAGTCAGAACTCCAGCAGCAGCGTCTGGATCAGCTGCAGCTGCAGGATCGATTGGTTTTAGGCAGACCTGCGAGGAGACTAATGCAGTAATCAATGCAACATTTAGCGCAACAACTTATCACCCAGTAAAATTAAATTATAAATAGAGGGATTTCTCACTGATTTAATGGGAGTTTGAAAAATTAATTTGATCATGTTGCTGAATGTTTTTCTCCTGAAGCGGAGGCCAAAGCAGCGGCTGCCGATTGCTGCATTCAGGCCCTTACCTGCCGTCCTTCTGTGACGTTGATCAACAGGAGCGGGCGCAGCACTCGAGACCAGCGAACGCTGTAAAGGTTAGCAGCTTTCAGCGCTCCGTAGATGATCATGTCTATTAACGTGAGCTGGATGACACACAGAGGAACACATGCATTTATACAGAGACACATGACTGTAAGAGAAAGTTACAGTCGTATTCAATACATTTGAATTTCATACAATATGTTTTTTTCTTTGACGTAATATTCTAATTTTTAATGTCATTTTTTCCCATAAACTGTGCAGAAAATCTTCACATTTAACAGAAATAAACACTTTCAAACATCCGTCTGTGTGTGATTAACTTATATGACGTGATTCACCAAGTAATACATTTCCTAAAATTGATAGACTTTTCAATAATATCCTCATGAGCTAAATAATCTACAGATATTGTAGGTTTCATGCCGACTTCTAAATTAGTGTAGGAATCTTTTTATATACATTTAATCAGAATCAAAATATTCTATAATAAGTTCCACCATCTTAATTAATGGTCATGTGAATAGTTTTCAGTCCAGTTTATATGGAATAAATAAAATCTCATTAGAGGCCGACTTTTTAAGCCTTTGAGTTTAATGAAAATGATTTCCTGTCCTCTTATTTTGTAACCATAAGTTGGCTGATTAGATTGATTAAATCTAGAATAATGTGCTGAGGATGCGACTGAATTGAAGTAAAGTTCACTGATAGAGCTGAAACTAACGGTCATTTCAGTAATCCATTAATCAGGTAAAAATCGTCTCCTACAGATTTTTCATTCAATAATTTTTGTACTAAATGTATTAAAATATGCAAATAAATAATTCAATTCCTTTTTTTGTATAAGAAACTAAACATTGTACTGCCTAACATTGTAATAACACAACAAACAGATTAATCTGCAGCTAAAAAATACTTCTAGCATTAACATCTGGAAAAACCTATTAATATAGTGAAGGACAGATCTGTTAACCACTTTTTGGATTAACTGTTTAATAATTAAAGAGCAAAAGATGCTTAATAGGATATTTTCTTTACAAAATTTGAACCAAGTGAGGCTAAAACTGCCCTTTGAGGAATCTTGGGTAAAATGTATTTACAAAGTTGTTGTTTTTTCTTAAATGTAAAATGTAAACATTTTTTATCCAGTGTTGGTTTAATTATTGTTCTGCGTATGTTTTTCTTTCATCATGTGGCATTTTTCAGAGTCTGTACGCTCCAGTTAATCAATACTGAATTAGTTGATCATTTACAATTAATTGTTTCAGCTCTAAATGTCAGATCAAAACATCCTGAAATAAAGAACTTGTATTTTTTATGCCAACATCTGATCACCCTGCACAGGACAATGTTATCTGTAACCACAAAACCTGAAGGTTTAAACTGTGTCCCTGCTGAAACCTTTGGTCACCACTGGAACATTATGCTTTCAAAATAAACACATTGCATTATGCAAGAACTTTTAAACTGTCCCTGCTGTAAATTAAGTTGTTCAGCAGGAGTGCTTCATGCCGTTTTAGCGAGTAGTGAGGCTCAGAGCCACCAGGAAGCCTCTGCTGCTCCAAAGGCGCTGACTTGACAATATTTCTGGCTAAAGGCCGTTTCACAACAGCAGCCAGAACGTCTTCTCAGCACATTCAAGCCCTCCGAGTTCACAGACAGGAACTCTGCTCAGCACACTGCAACTATTTCACTCAAAAAACAAGGAAGAGTCCAAGAACCACCAGGATTCAATGTTTCCAGTTACTTGAACATGGTGTCATTTTGACAGCTTTCATCTGAGGAGCGTCTCTGAAGTTTCAAAACGCAACATCCAGACTTCCAATTTACTGCACTAAAGCAGATTTACTCGAGTGTTTTAAAGAGTCAGATGAAATCCTACCAAGAGGACGACGATGATGCAGATGTTCTTTGGGTCCTTCCAGAACTTTTCCCGGGGAATCACCTTGGCGTAGTGAACAAGCCGAATGGTGAAGACGAGCAGGCAGAGCAGCTCCACCAGCATGGTGGCCTGAAGGCAGCGCAGCACAACACAAACCCAGTGAAAACAACGTCTCACTTTTTTTAACCCGCCTTCCCTGCGGGTTAAACTCAAAATGTTAGCTTTGCAAAAATATTGTTAGAAAATTTCCAGGTGGTGGTGGTGGTTGTTGTTGTTTGAGACCAGATTATTTCATTTTATGAACTGTGTCTAAGGTTCGCACTGATTATGGGAAAAAATAAAAAAAAATTAAAAATCCTTCCAGTTTATTACCTAGATTGTATTTTGATATCTGTGGTTTGTAGTTGTTGCCGTTTTGCTGCCGTCTTGCCCAGATATCAATGAGACACGCCTGGTTAAATGAAGGTTACATTACACGCATCCAGAGCAGAACTTTTCAAAGGCAAACAAATGTCGAAAATGATTTATTGGGGTTTTATGTGAGAGCATGATACCACAAAGTAGTGGATATTTGTGAAAGTAAAAAGGTTTTAATTTTTCTATAAATCAAATAGAGATGCAACTAACGGTTATTTTAGTAATCGATTATTTGGATACAAAACGCGGCAAATTCTTCATTAATCCACCAAAACCTTTTTTTTTCTTTTTTACATAGTACTAGAAATACATTAAAATCAAAATAAATTATTTTTCTAAATGATAAAAAAAACATTTATTGTCTAAAATGCAACAGCAGCATTCCTTTAGCGTACGCTTGATCATTTGTAGCAAAGGATGCATCTGCAGCTAAAAAATACTTCAACATGAGAAAGTTCAGCCATTTCTGTTCAACATAATATTAATACAGTGTACAGCTGACCCGTTTTTTTTATTTTTTGGATTAACTGATTAATAATTGGACAGCAAAAGGTGCATAATAGAAGTTGTATATAAAAACTGGAAAGTAAATTGAACACTCAGCTGACTAGTTACAGGCTTCAGAATGAGTCTTTCTGAATACTAGACTGAGGTAAAACAGTAACTACTAATAAATCTCTGTATCCTAACAGGCTGAGATTTTAGTTTTTTTATTTGCTTCCCCAGTTAAAGTACAGGATTGCCCGTTTCTAATAAAACCATTGGAGTAAAGGTGTTTAAGAAATTAACAATCTTCTTCGTCATTTCAAAAACTATTGGACAAACTGCTTCCTGTTGATGCCTGAGGGAAATGTGACAGATCTGTGTTTATACGGTGTGGACTTTAGAGCTAATTAAGCTTTTTACAGAACTTGTTTTATGGGCGTTTCTTTTTTTAGTTCATAACTTCAACAAGGAAATCCCCCAACGTGAGGAGAACCATCTGCAACGCAACGTTTTACTCAGCATCCGTCAAATGCTCAACGTCGATGTTAAACAGTGAGACAATGTCTCAATCTGGCGCAAAGAAACTGAGCAAAATGGTTTTAAATCGTTCAAATCATTGTTTAAAATGGGTTTCAATTGAAATTCCATACTTCCCATGTATAGATATTTTTTTTTATATCATTATGGCTATTTGAGAACAAAACACTTGAGTTTTATCATCACTGTTTTTTTAATATACCACGAATTGTACTGGAGATTTCTTAGGATTAAGGAAAAGGAGGCATTTTCAGCTTTTTCTTTCGGAAAAAAACAGTTTAAAAACTGTGGGTCCAGTTTAGACCCAGAAAGGCTTAAAATAAACAACAAAAGACCTTCTTTGAATTTCCTGAATGGGTTTGAGGCTAAACTGACATGGATACAAACTAAAGTTTTGATTTTCCCAACCAAAGATTAACACCTTCTTGTGATACTCTAAATATAAATAACAGAATAAGAAATTGAAAGTCACGTTTTCCATCTCCAATTTTCACCTTTATATGCTTCTCCAGACTTTAAACATTATAGAAGCGATTGGGTCAAATAAAAGGAGCATGTAAAGGTATGACATAGACATCATGCTCTGTTAGCATTTTCTGTGCGTGTCCAGCAGAATCTGCCTTCGTACCCACGTGGGCAGAGAAACCAGAGCCGGTTCCTCAAAGATCGCCAGCGACAGATTGACCAGGATGAAGAAATACAGGAGAACCTTTAAGGCCCAGTGGTTGTAGAGGAGGTAGAGTCTGAAAGCACACAAAGCACAAAGACATTATAAACCTGTGATGAAGGAAGCACCACTAAATGTGAACTATAATGTTAACCTGGTGCAGTGCTCTTATTGCAACGACTGGAGTCAGGAGGAATCATGCAAACAAAATACAAAATATAAACAAAATCCCACAGTCTCCAAAAATCGTAAGATTTTTTAAAAGTTAAATGAGTCACAATTATCGTCTGTCAATATTGATAATTATTGATTCTTTTTTTTGCTTTAAATATCTGAAATACTGCAGATATCTACAGTTTCTTCTCAAGCTGTTGTACTCATTTTCTCCTTCCACTCCACGCCGTTGTTTTTTTTATTTTTAGGCAGGAATGAAACAAAGAGGCAAAACCTGAAACTGCTGCTGTGCAAGTTACTAGTTATGTTGTTGCTAGGTAACCAAAGAATGAGCTGTTGCTAGGGAAAAAGAGTGAGTGAGTGAGTAGAGGCCAACTGAGGTTGCGCAACTAAAGCCTTTCCTCTGCCTACATCTCCCAGAATGCTGTGCGGTTCTGAATCTGAGTTCAGTGAAATTATTGAACATTCTAATATGTTTTCTATTAATACTGATCACATGTATTGTGATATATATTATTGATTTATTGCCCAGACATATTGTAAGGATATTGCTTTCTAGAGGTGTGTGTGCTTCTCCTACTCTGTGTGACGTATAAAAGTCTGGACAAAGCCACAAGAGGTGAAACACAGTTTTGTAAACCAACAAAGCTAAGTGAACATTCTCCAATAAAGATGACTGCCTGGTTTCATTATTTCATACATGCTTTTATCCAAGATCAAGTGTTTGAGAACTTGATCTTGTTAAACATCCGATGGCCTCACCTGACAGCCGGGGGCGACGTATCAAAGTAGATGTTTCTGTTGTACTGGGCATCTGACACATAGATGGTAGCCAGGTCAAAATCCTGAAAATGCACAGAGCAGCTGTTAAAAAACAAAACTATTTTCTCACTTGTCTGCCTCAACCTCAAAAGACAGAAGCAGTTACTAAAAACACATGAAGACTGAGACTGTTCCAAATTCAATTTCCTGCTTGGCTCGAACCATCACCTGTAGATCCTGAGAGAGGAAGAACACTATATTAACCCCCCCCCGCCCCCCACAGCATCATGTACAATGCTGTCTGCATGAAACACTCCATACACTTCTGACCAATTACACAATACTTTGCATAGACCTGAACCTGGTGTGGACTTGATTTTCATCTCGTAACTACGTCAATGAGAGCAGACTGCGACTCTTTGGACATAAAACCCGAGCATATTCTCTGAGACCGTGCTGATTTCCTCCTCCTTCAACATCATTTATCCGGCATGTGAGGGCCAGACAATATGGCTGAAAAACATGTCATGATATAAGTGTTCCATATAAAGTCAATATCAATAATCACAGATTAGTTTTTTTGTTTTCAATATACAAAATACTTAAAAACTGGTGGTGTGATCTTTCTTTTGGCATATGGCATTGTTTTTTTGTTATTTTAAGCAGTTATGAGGCATGGCGGTGAAACCTTAAACTGTTGCCGTGCAAGTTACTCAACAGGTTGTTGCTAGGTAACTAAAGAATGAGTGAGTTGCTAGGTAACCAAAGAGTGAACGAGTCACTTGATGCCACCAACTTTGCTTGGCTGGTTGCGAGAGGTTCTCTCCGTCTACATCTCCCAGAATGCTGTGCAGTTCTGGATCAGAGTTCATGAATAGTTTAAATATTCTGTCAAACATATTATCCATTTATCCTGATCACATGTCTACTATCAGATGTATTGTTATTGATTTATTGTCCATACACGTAGATATAATCATACTCTGAATACGTCCCAACAATCTTGGCCTTACTTTTAAGAACTTTGTCTCCACCGCACACCTCACCACTGTCTTCCTGTCCTTGTATGCCACGCAGTGCCCTCAAGCATTTTTCTGCCAGCTTAACTTCCTCATACAGCACCACAGTTCCTCTCCACAAAAACGCAGCACTACTTATTCTGTACTTCTCCATCAGCACTGTCAAAGTAAGCATTAGATCTGTAGTTCACTCAACACTGCTACTAAACAGCCTCTCTCCATGATAAGATGATGTTTGTCATTTTTAAGCCCTCTGTTTGCATGTGGTACAGCTCTGCTAATGCATGTTGGTCCCCAAAACACACCCACATTCATCCCTTTACAATTAAGATAAAATGGTCCTAGAATTAATATCGGGCGATATTAGTCATTTTATAATATATT